CATTCACTCACTCACTCTCATTCACTCACTCACTCTCATTCACTCACTCACTCATTCACTCACTCACTCTCCTCACTCACTCACTCACACTCACTCACTCACTCTCTCTCACACTCACTCACTCCTCACTCACTCTCTCACTCGCTCTCACTCTCTCACTCACTCACACTCACTCGCACTCACTCGCACTCACTCGCACTCACTCTCACTCACTCGCTCTCTCTCTCACTCTCTCTCTCTCTCTCTCTCTCTCTCTCTCTCTCTCTCTCTCTCTCTCTCTCTCTCTCTCTCTCTCTCTCTCTCTCTCTCTCTCTCTCACTCTCTCTCTCTCTCTCTCTCCCCTCACTCTCTCTCTCTCTCCCCCTCACTCTCTCGCTCTCTCCCCCTCACTCTCTCGCTCTCTCTCCCCCTCACTCTCTCTCTCTCCTCCCCCCTCACTCTCTCGCTCTCTCTCCCCTCACTCTCTCGCTCTCTCCCCCCCCCTCACTCTCTCGCTCTCTCCCCCTCACTCTCTCGCTCTCTCTCCCCTCACTCGCTCGCTCTTTTCCCCCTCACTCTCTCACTCTCTCTCCTCACTCTTTCTCCTCACTCTCTCTCTCTCTCCTCACTCTCTCTCTCTCTCTCTCTCCTCACTCTCTCTCTCCCCTCACACTCTCTCTCCCCTCACTCTCTTGCTCTCTCCCCTCACTCTCTCGCTCTCTCCCCTCACTCTCTCGCTCTCTTCCCTCACTCTCTCGCTCTCTCCCCTCACTCTCTCGCTCTCTCCCCTCACACTCTCGCTCTCTCCCCCTCCACTCTCTCGCTCTCTCCCCTCACTCTCTCGCTCTCTCTCCCCTCACTCTCTCGCTCTCTTCTTCCTCACTCTCTCGCTCTCTCCCCTCACTCTCTCGCTCTCTCCCCTCCTCACTCTCGCTCTCACTCTCCCTCTCTCCCCTCACTCTCTCGCTCTCTCCCCTCACTCTCTCGCTCTCTCCCCTCACTCTCTCGCTCTCTCCCCTCACTCTCTCGCTCTCTCCCCTCACTCTCTCGCTCTCTTCCCTCACTCTCTCGCTCTCTCCCCTCATTCTCTCACTCTCTCCCCTCACTCTCGCTCCCCTCACTCTTGCTCCCCTCACTCTCGCTCTCCTCACTCTCGCTCTCCTCACTCTCGCTCTCTCTGCCAGGAGCAACGCAACTGGTGGGAAGTGGTTCAAATAGCTTCGCCTATCACTTCCTTTTGTCCGCCTATCACATTTGTGTTCCTCATGTGTGCCCGAAAGAATGAGGTGATTTAATAAAATACTATGCCCAAGATTACCATCCGAGTGCCGGCGAGGAAGTGGTTCAAATAGCTTTGGCTATCACTTCCTTTTGTCCAATCGTGATGGTCAAGCGGATTAAGGCAACCTGTACATACCAGTTGTGTTGCTCCTGGCAGTATGGTTTCGAGTCACTTCTGGGGTGTGAGTTTTCAGTTGCATGTAGTCCTGGGGACCATTCAGGCTTGTTCACATTTGTGTTCCTCACGTGTGACCTAAAGAATGAAGTGATTTGATAAAATGCTTTGCCCAAGATTACCATCCGAGTGCCGGCGGGGAAGTGGTTCAAATAGCTTCAGCTATCACTTCCTTTTGTCCGGTCGTGATGGTCAAGCGGATTAAGGCATCCTGTACATACCAGTTGCATTGCTCCTGGCAGTATGGTTTCGAGTCACTTCTGGGGTGTGAGTTTTCAGTTGCATATAGTCCTGGGGACCATTCAAGCTTTTTCACACACACACACTATATATATATATATATATATATATATATTGTGATGATAATCTCTTTCAAGAGAGATTGAGCCAGCTCTTCTCTACATCAAGTTATGTATAGTATACAACAATAAGATGCTACCTTCAAGATAGGTCTACCAGTAGCACAAAACGTTTTGATCAGGAGGCAAACGTACCCAAGACTCACCCCCTACTCCCCACACCCTCCACGCCGGCTCGTCATCATCCAGCCAACTACCATTCCCAGCCTGCCTGCTCCTGATTGGTGACTCGCCGACTGCACACCTGCACTTCTGCACCTCAGTGCTCTCTACCTGAGTCGATGTCTGGGCTTGCCATTGAAGTCAGAATATCCTTGTGCCTTCAATATAAAATATTGAATATAATTCAATATTTTTTTTTCTCCCTTCCTATTTATGCTACGATGCTGAGACTTGGACCTGATGAAATCCTTTTCATATACAACTTGCCAAAAAAGTTTGATTGAAATCGAAAGAGTTTTCATTTATTTCATTTTTGGGCAAATTTGGAAATTAATGCCCCCTTTTAAAGTTGTATATGAAAAGGATTTCATCTGGTCCAAGTCTCAGCATCGTACCATAAATAGGAAGGGAGAAAAAAATATTGAATAATGTGTCAAAATTTTTCCAAAATGGTCAAAAACGATTATCAAACAAAAATGTCAACTGAAATCATGTCTATGACTCTCGGCTATCACAATAGCATATATTAAAAACAAATTGTAATTTGTTTTAATAAAAACAAAATTGAGTTAAAAAAAGACAATTTTTTAATTTTTTTTTAATTTTATATCTCTCTTGTTTATAAGGCGATTTGCATGAAACTTATACACCTGACTGCACGTATGCCTATCAGTAAGGGTGCCAATTTTGGAGGAAATTGGTTGATGTCAACCTCAGCCACAGATGGCAACACCTTAGACTTTATTATTTTCGTATTTTCAAGTAACAAACATTCAAATAACTTTTTTATTTTTTATTCAATTTACATAAAACTTACACCTTGTATGTAAAGTGTATGCCTCTAAAATCTTATGCAAGCGTTTTTTCCTGAGTTCATTTATGGATTTTATAAATAGCAATAAACATGATATATATGTATAATTTTTGGGGGAACTTTGACTATTTGTATTAGGAAAACTAAAGACGTTTAGGAAAATCCAATCCTAGAGATCCTTTCTTATACGCTAATGTGTCAGAAAAGTGGCATAGAATGATTATATCTGAAAGGTATGTTTGTTCATTTACACTTGAAAATGTGTAAAATTAGTTGAAAAAATAAAAAAATAAAAAATCTCCCTTATTATTTAGGCTACAGTACTGAAACTTAGAACAATTGTAGCCCTTTTCATATACAACTAGTGAAAAAATAATGGTTGACATTGAACAACTTAGTTTCCATAAAGAACGTCCCCTAAGGCCAGAACTAAGTGACAAACGTCACTGTGTAACATCAGTAATGGAGGCTTCCTTTACAAGATGAAGCTCAAGATGACTTGAAGTATACATGAATACATATGAATACATCTATACAATAATATCCCATTGTTCAAAGATAAAGAAAATATCATTATATATTTTGTTTAGGCAATATTTGATGCGAGGAGCCATGTAGGAAGAGAGGAGAAGACTCACCACTCAGGCACGGGGAGGCCCCCAGACCTAACACAGGTTACTGGTCTATTGCGGACACCTTCACCGCAGGAGGAGTGTCCCAGTGGCACACAGGACGTCCAGTCTCCCACTAGCCAGGTGTAGCTCCAGCACGACGCTCCCTTGATGCATGCTTCCTGCTCCGTCAGGGGCGGGCATGTGACCAGACTCCCCACAGGGCGACGCACCACCTCCCGACTCCTGCTGCGTCGGCTTCCCTCCGGGCAGCCCTGAAACACCATCACTCGTGTGCAATTTGACGAGTCTCCTACAGTGTTCTGCATGCCCACCTCTAGCATGTGTCAACTGGTCACAGAGCAAAAATAATTTATCGAATTTTATATTATATTAACTTTTACATAGAACAGAGCTGTGTGTGTACTCACCTAGTTGTACTCACCTAGTCGTGCTTGCGGGAGTTGTGCTCTGGCTCTTTGGTCCTGCCTCCCAACTGTCAATCAACTGAAGTACAGATTCCTGAGCCTACTGGGCTCTACGATATCTACATTTGAAACTGTGTACAGAGATTGCCTCCACCACATCACTGCCTAATGCATTCCTAATGCATGCATAATGTGTGTGTGTGAGAGAGAATTATGGGCAGGGTGACCATGTGGGACGTACCTGAGGGCAGGGTGACGTACCCGAAGACAGGGAGACGTACCTGAGGGCAGGGTGACCAGGGAGACGTACCTGAGGGCAGGGAGACGTACCCGAGGACAGGGTGACCAGGGAGACGTACCTGAGGGCAGGGTGACCAGGGAGACGTACCTGAGGGCAGGGTGACCAGGGAGACATACCTGAGGGCAGGGTGACCAGGGATATATACCTGAGGGCAGGGTGACCAGGGAGACGTACCCGAGGGCAGGGTGACCAGGGAGACGTACCCGAGGGCAGGGTCACCAGGGAGACGTACCCGAGGGCAGGGTCACCAGGGAGACGTACCCGAGGGCAGGGTGACCAGGGAGACGTACCCGAGGGCAGGGTGACCAGGGAGACGTACCCGAGGGCAGGGTGACCAGGGAGACGTACCCGAGGGCAGGGTGACCAGGGAGACGTACCCGAGGGCAGGGTGACCAGGAGACGTACCCGAGGGCAGGGTGACCAGGGAGACGTACCCGAGGGCAGGGTGACCAGGGAGACGTACCCGAGGGCAGGGTGACCAGGGAGACGTACCCGAGGGCAGGGTGACCAGGGAGACGTACCCCAGGGCAGGGTGACCAGGGAGACGTACCCGAGGGCAGGGTGACCAGGGAGACGTACCTGATGGCAGGGTGACCAGGGAGACGTACCTGAGGGCAGGGTGACCAGGGAGACGTACCTGAGGGCAGGGTGACCAGGGAGACGTACCTGAGAGCAGGGTGACCAGGGGGACGTACCTGAGGGCAGGGTGACCAGGGAGACATACCTGAGGGCAGGGTGACCAGGGAGACGTACCTGAGGGCAGGGTGACCAGCGAGACGTACCCGAGGGCAGGGTGACCAGGGAGACGTACCTGAGAGCAGGGTGACCAGGGGGACGTACCTGAGAGCAGGGTGACCAGGGGGACGTACCTGAAGGCAGGGTGACCAGGGGGACGCACCTGAGAGCAGGGTGATCAGGGGGACGCACCTGAGGGCAGGGTGACCAGGGAGACGTACCCGAGGGCAGGGTGACCAGCGAGACGTACCCGAGGGCAGGGTGACCAGGGAGACGTACCCGAGGGCAGGGTGACCAGGGGGACGCACCTGAAGGCAGGGTGACCAGGGGGACGCACCTGAGGGCAGGGTGACCAGGGGGACGCACCTGAGGCAGGGTGATCAGGGGGACGCACCTGAGGGCAGGGTGACCAGGGGACGTACCTGAAGGCAGGGTGACCAGGGGGACGCACCTGAAGGCAGGGTGACCAGGGGACGCACCTGAAGGCAGGGTGACCAGGGGGACGCACCTGAGGGCTGGGTGATCAGGGGGACGCACCTGAGGGCAGGGTGACCAGGGGGTTGTACCTGAGGGCAGGGTGACCAGGGAATGTACCTGAGGGCAGGGTGATCAGGGGGACGCACCTGAGGGCAGGGTGACCAGGGGGATGTACCTGAGGGTAGGGTGACCAGGGGGACGCACCTGAGGGCAGGGTGATCAGGGGGACGCACCTGAGGGCAGGGTGACCAGGGAGACGTACCCGAGGGCAGGGTGACCAGCGAGACGTACCCGAGGGCAGGGTGACCAGGGAGACGTACCCGAGGGCAGGGTGACCAGGGGGACGCACCTGAAGGCAGGTGACCAGGGGGACGCACCTGAGGGCAGGGTGACCAGGGGGACGCACCTGAGGGCAGGGTGATCAGGGGGACGCACCTGAGGGCAGGGTGACCAGGGGGACGTACCTGAAGGCAGGGTGACCAGGGGGACGCACCTGAAGGCAGGGTGACCAGGGGACGCACCTGAAGGCAGGGTGACCAGGGGGACGCACCCGAGGGCTGGGTGATCAGGGGGACGCACCTGAGGGCAGGGTGACCAGGGAGTTGTACCTGAGGGCAGGGTGACCAGGGGGACGTACCTGAAGGCAGGGTGACCAGGGGACGCACCTGAGAGCAGGGTGATCAGGGGGACGCACCTGAGGGCAGGGTGACCAGGGAGACGTACCCGAGGGCAGGGTGACCAGCGAGACGTACCCGAGGGCAGGGTGACCAGGGAGACGTACCCGAGGGCAGGGTGACCAGGGGGACGCACCTGAAGGCAGGGTGACCAGGGGACGCACCTGAGGGCAGGGTGACCAGGGGGACGCACCTGAGGGCAGGGTGATCAGGGGGACGCACCTGAGGGCAGGGTGACCAGGGGGACGTACCTGAAGGCAGGGTGACCAGGGGGACGCACCTGAAGGCAGGGTGACCAGGGGGACGCACCTGAAGGCAGGGTGACCAGGGGGACGCACCTGAAGGCAGGGTGACCAGGGGGACGCACCTGAGGGCAGGGTGACCAGGGGGTTGTACCTGAGGGCAGGGTGACCAGGGGAATGTACCTGAGGGCAGGGTGATCAGGGGGACGCACCTGAGGGCAGGGTGACCAGGGGGATGTACCTGAGGGTAGGGTGACCAGGGGACGCACCTGAGGGCAGGGTGATCAGGGGGACGCACCTGAGGGCAGGGTGACCAGGGAGACGTACCCGAGGGCAGGGTGACCAGCGAGACGTACCCGAGGGCAGGGTGACCAGGGAGACGTACCCGAGGGCAGGGTGACCAGGGGGACGCACCTGAAGGCAGGGTGACCAGGGGGACGCACCTGAGGGCAGGGTGACCAGGGGGACGCACCTGAGGGCAGGGTGATCAGGGGGACGCACCTGAGGGCAGGGTGACCAGGGTGACGTACCTGACGGCAGGGTGACCAGGGGGACGCACCTGACGGCAGGGTGACCAGGGGGACGCACCTGAAGGCAGGGTGACCAGGGGGACGCACCTGAGGGCTGGGTGATCAGGGGGACGCACCTGAGGGCAGGGTGACCAGGGAGTTGTACCTGAGGGCAGGGTGACCAGGGGAATGTACCTGAGGGCAGGGTGATCAGGGGGACGCACCTGAGGGCAGGGTGACCAGGGGGATGTACCTGAGGGTAGGGTGACCAGGGGACGCACCTGAGGGCAGGGTGATCAGGGGGACGCACCTTAGGGCAGGGTGATCAGGGGGACGCACCTGAGGGCAGGGTGACCAGGGGGACGTACCTGAGGGCAGGGTGACCAGGGGGACGTACCTGAGGGCAGGGTGACCAGGGGGACGTACCTGAGGGCAGGGTGACCAGGGGGACGTACCTGAGGGCAGGGTGACCAGGGGGACGTACCTGAGGGCAGGGTGACCAGGGGACGTACCTGAGGGCAGGGTGACCAGGGGGACGTACCTGAGGGCAGGGTGATCAGGGGGACGCACCTGAGGGCAGGGTGACCAGGGGGACGTACCTGAGGGCAGGGTGACCAGGGGGACCAGGAGGAGAGGACACAGTCTCCGGGACAGGAGATGTGACAGGTCTGGTGGGTGGGAGGCTGGAGCCAGGAGTCGCAGTGGTCCTCCGGTACCTGTTGCTGCAGGCCCGTCGCCGCCTCCGCCATGCACCTGCCAGATGGTCCACACTTTCTTACTTGGCCCCACACTCACTAACTCACTCACTAGTATATGATGGCTTTACTTCTAAATGATTTTTTAAAAGTTTTGAAATTGATAACATCTATATATTTACCAGAGAGAATGTTTGGTTGTATATGTATGTTTGTCGCTGTGTCTTGGGTTGAAAGTCTGATTTTTATTTTTTTTTTATTTCAAATTGAGTAAAACCAACAGCTCGAACCAAAAAATTGGACTTCATTATTTACACCAAACAAAATGGACTTCTAATTTAATACTCATGAACAGCTTCAATAAATAGTTGAACCCTCTTCAAAAACCAAACGTGGAATACCAATTTACAAGCCCCAATGAAGGATGTCACCATCAATCTACTTATATTGGTATTCCTGGAAATATCCAAAACTTATTTCTCACTTTTAGTACTTCGATAGATAACCGTTGTTCTAACCATTATATTTCATTAACACTACTAATCAGTAGAGTAATAATTTTAATACGTTCCCTACTGCGTAATAACCACGCCAAAAATTCCTACTTTCCGTGGCGAAGTTATATGCCCGACTGAAAGGAAAAACATCTACATTTCAAAGAATCATGCTAAATTCTCTCTCCATATCAGCATTCTTCCATAAGATTATTAGCTGTTAATATTTATCATAGATCGAGTGATTTAGCATTATTCGCTGAGATCACTATATACAGAGAAACTTATCAACGAAAATCACGGAGAAAAGAATTTCTCCTACAACCTTGTCGTCTACATGAACTTCGTTTCATATCAATTGTTATATGACGAGAATTTTATTGATATTAACTTATTTATTATAAACCTTGTCCTTATTATCTCGCAAAGTTGACCTGAATTATAGGAGTTTATTTCTCCGTCCCAAAACACTATTACTGCGCATGCGTGGACGAGAGAGGAAGGAGTAGCAACCATTATGCTCGTAGAGAAATCAGTGTCTAGAAGCGTGCAAATTTTATCGACCCGGAATTACGTCATCCTAGAAGCAGCAGGTGTACTAAAACCATTGTTTTTTTGAGTGATCACGATAGGTAACTAGTTGGATGTTTGTCTTCAAGCCGCATGGCTATTAAAAATCAACAAGTGAGTTTTAGTTCAAACCGCTTCCACATTTTTATTTAGAAATGTGAGTAAGATCATATACATTTAGGCAAATTTTAGATTGTAAAACTATTTCAGCATGTGTCCTAATGGCAAGACTGGAGATAAGCATCCACCTCAATCACGTGTTCTGGATATCCTGATCCAACAAATTTCGTGACGAAACTACTCGGACCCATACTACTATTTTCTCCACATAACTAAGCTGTTGTCTAGTTTCGTTCTTTAGTAGAATACTAATTATTATTCATATGATGATTTTCAATATATGATCATATATATCACATATATTTTATAATTTATAATTTATATTCATGTTGTAGTAATTTGTAGTTGACTTATCTACAAGTATTATTTTCAATTCACCCCCAAAGTGTGTGGTGCGAATCAACTCAATATTTAATTTAAATTTACAGTTCACGTAATGAACTTTCATATATCATTATTAATTATTGAGAGATCCATAGACACTGGTTCTCAGATTTATTTCAATTTATTGATTTCATTTATTTCCCTTTATCTTAAGGGTGGTCCTTCGCAGCTATCGAAATTTATTCTCATTATTATCAATGTTCTGAGCCAGATTGTCCCACATCCTTTTTGCTCCACCGAACCAGATGAACCGTAATTAATGTTAAATCTATACTGCATAAACTAGATTTAAAATTAAATCTATAATTACTGATCTACATAAAACAGTAAAATTTCACAATCATTTTACGCTCCAGTATATTAAGCCAAGTAAGTAATTATCAAAAGAAGGCACCAAACCGGGAAGGCTATGTAGCACCATCAAATGTGCAGAATAATCAGAGGGCGCTAAATATCACCAAGGATGCCAATACGGGAACAAAAACGCATAAGGCGAACGATATCAAAAGTATCCAAGTCACCAAGAATTCTATTGAGGGACAGGTGACCGCGAGGGGGGGGGTCGGAAAGCAAGACACACGCTCGTCCTGGAAGTCAGGACATTCAAGAAGGACATGCACGACAGTAAGAGGGACAATGCAACTAGGACAATAAGGAGCAGGGCGGCGCTCCATCAAGTGACCATGGGTTAAGCGAGTATGGCCAATACGCAACCTCGCCAGAGCCGTTTCCCAACGCCGGTTACGGTGGTAGGAGGGCAGCCACGAGGAAACACAACATTTAAGAGTACGTAGTTTGTTACCAGTAACAGACGACCAAGAAGCCTGCCAACGGGTAAGGACGTAGGAATGAATAACCGGGTAAAAGTCGGAATATGGAATACCTTTACGAGAGATGGGACAAGAGCGGATAGCTTCCTTGGCGGCAGCATCCGCACGCTCATTTAAAGACACACCAAAATGGCTGGAAACCCAACAAAACTCAACCAACTTAAATTTACTGTGAACAAGAATCAGCCAATGCTGGATCTCGACAACTACTAGATGAACCGGATTAAAGGACCCGAGAGCCATGAGGGCACTACGAGAGTCAACAACAACTACAAAGGAAGACTGACAACGAGAAAGCAGGAGACGAAGAGCATAGAGAATAGCATAAAGCTCCTCTGTAAAGATGCTAATCTCCGGAGGTAAGCTTTTCTTCTCACTCCCACTCCGGAGTGGGAGTGAGAAGAAAAGTGCTCGAGGAAAAGGCGTTTTAGAACCGTAGGAGGGGTAAAAGCTTTAGTGATACGGGTCAAGGATGTACAAAACCGCGGAAGAGGGACTCTCCACGGGGGCAAAGAAGGAACAACACGAGGAGAAACATCAGAAATACGAACGGAAAGAGAATCCTGTAGGCGAGATAACCGGACAGAAAGAGGGAGATGGTGAAGAGGAACAGGAACCGCAGGAGGGGGTAAAAGTTAAAGCATGACAGAGGCGAAAGGAAGGATGTTGCAAGGACCGCGCAAGATAGCAAAGACAGTAGCGATCACGGCGGTCCTGGAGAGACAGGAAGCCAGTGTCAACATACAAGCTAAAGATGGGAGTCGAACGAAAGGCACCAGAACTGAGGCACAACCCAGTATGGTGCAAAGCATCAAGACGGCGAAGAGTAAAAGGAGAAGCAGACGAGTAAGCAGGGCAACCATAATCGAGCTTAGACAGGACGAGAGAGGAATGTAAAGCAAGGAGAGTGCGCCTATCTGCCCCCCAAGAAGTATGGGACAAGACCCGAAGGAGGGTAAGGGCCTTAGAGCCCTCAACACGGAGGTAAGAGATATGGGGAGACCAAGACAAACGAGTGTCAAGGAATAACCCCAAAAGCTTCGCGGAATCTTTGTATTCAAGGGGATGACCATAAAGTGACAAAGAGGGACGAAGAACGACCCGTTTCCACGTAAAAGTCATGGCACAAGTCTTAGAAGTAGAGAACTTGAAGCCATGATCGGTGTCCCAAGATGACACGGCATCAATTGCAAGTTGAAGCCGGCGCTGAAGGAGAGGCGAATCATCACCCTGACAGCAAAGGGTAAGATCATCGACATATAGAGCGGAGAAGACACCAGAAGGAAGAGAGGAAAGAAGACCATTGAGGGCTACCAGAAAAAAGTAGTGCTCAGAACACTACCGTGGGGCACACCTTCGTATTGCTGAAAAGAGGCAGAGAGAGCGGTACCAAGGCGCACCCGAAAGGAACGACGAGAGAGGAAGCTGCGGAGAAAGAGAGGGAGATGACCCCGAGGCCAAAAGAATGAAGTTGAGATAGAATATGATATCGCCAAGTGGTGTCGTAAGCCTTTTCCAGGTCAAAAAGGACGGCAACAACGGAGGTCTTCGCAGCAAAAGCAGTACGAATATAGACCTCCAAGTTCACCAGGACATCTGTCGTGCTGCGGCACTTGCGGAAACCAAATTGAGAAGGGGAGAGGAGGTGATGGTGTTCCAGGAACCACAGAAGACGAACGTTAACCATACGTTCAAAGAGTTTGCAGACACAACTTGTGAGAGCAATAGGGCGAAAGTCCTTAGGGGAAGTACCCAGAGACCCCGGTTTGCGAAGAGGGAGGACAACGGCATCGAGCCAGTCCTTAGGGACTGACGACGACTCCCAGATCCAATTATACAGACTCAGTAAATACTGAGACGTGCACGGAGGGAGATGGCGAAGCATCTCATAATGAATACCATCGGAGCCCGCCGCCGTAGAACCGCAGAGGGCCAGGGCAGAACGAAGTTCAGAGAGAGAGAAGGGATCATTATAGGGAAGCTGAAGATCAGTGCAGAAATCTAAAGGACGAGACTCAAGGACAGTTTACAAAGAAGGAAAGATTGGGGAAGATGAAGACCAGAGCTAACAGAAGAAAAGTGGGAACCCAGTTCGGAAGCGACCTGCAACGGGTCCGCCACAAGAGTATCATGGAGGTGAAGGACCGGTAAAACATCGGGAACGAACTTACCCGCTATCTTGCGGATACGCTTCCAGATCTGGGTCAGAGGGGTTTCGGACGTAATTGTTGAGACATAAGATGCCCAACATTCACGTTTTAGCCGTACGGATGGCCCTACGGGCCACCGCACTCGCTTTCTGAAAGAAAAGAAAAGAATCGGTCGTCTGCCTACGGCGGTGCCTCTTCCAGGCTGCACGCTTACAGCGGACAGCCCGAGCACAGTCCGCATTCCACCAGGGAACGCACTTCCGTGGACCCTGAGAGGAAGAGCGAGGAATAGAGCGGAGGGCAGCGTTGAAGACAGTGTCATGAAAAAGGAGGAGAGTGCGAGAGAGAGGCAGAAGGGAGAGGACAGAGAGAGCAACACAGAGGGTAAATAGGGTCCAGTCCGCCTTAGCAAACTGCCACCTAGGGAAAGAGAAGGAAGGGCAAAAAGAGAAAAGGAAACAAGGATGGGGAAATGATCACTTCCATGGAGGTCATCAAGAACCTGCCACG